TTTTTTTGTCTTTGTAAGAGTTCTACACTTTCAGCATACATTAAACTAACTATTGTTTTTATTCAAAAAAAGTATATACATGTTGCAAGTTCACCAATTTTTGTGGTTTAGGTTTTGCAGTAATCTTGAATCCTTTCTTAACAGTACACTACTTTAAAGATATCTCTTATTACAAAAACAACAACTTAGCATTCATATTTTAACCAAGAAGGCATGTTAAGAAAGCATTCAAGGTTACTGCATACTATTAAGTTAACCCTGTATGATAATATCATTGTACTTATTTTCTTCACTCCATAACTGTAAACGAGTTGTGTGCAACAGATGTCTGGTTTTGGTTGTTTGTGTATTTGAATTGAAAACTCAAAATGTTATTTTAGTTGTCATGAAGAAACCTGCTTAACTACGGACCTCAAACTGTTCACTTTGTTTTGTATGTTTTTTAGGCAAGCAGATTCAACAGAGATATGATATTAGTTTTGAGAGTTCTGGAGAACATTGCATACAATTAGCTATATTTTTAGCTCTGGCTCATAAAATGGCTCCGAGTTCTGTCATCACTTGACCAATTTGAGATCTAATTACAGTTTTGGACTCAGGAGGTCAAACCTTTTCAATTGATATATTTAACCATGCCCAATACCTCATAGATTAATTTACTCTTATCGTGGCTAAAAGAATTTCAATTTGAGGGTAAGCTGGTAGAGATCCTGATGAGTAATCAAACTGAATCGGGTATACGCGCACCCCACGCTTGGTATTGCTGGTGCACAAAAATATAGCTAATAAAAAGGTCTTGTAGATTAATTTACTCTAATCCTGTCTAAAAGTATTTCAAGTGCCACGACTATTGAGGATTCCCTCTCGTTTTCATTGTGATGTGTACTTGTTTTACTAGACTTGATTTGTACAACTATTTACATTATCGATTTTTACTTTAAATATTCAATATTAATTATTACGCTATTATAATATTATCCTTTCACTGGTTTGTAATGGGTTTAAATAAATAATTGTAAGTCTGTGATAGACTTCTTTGATTTGGCTTGTACCTATCACTGTTAGAAGTTAATCGGATTGTATATGTGAAAGTGGCTTGTACCTATCACTCTTGAGATCTAATTACAGTTTTGGACTCAAGAGGTCAAACTCTTTCGATTGATGTATTTGACCATGCCCAAAGTCTCAGAGATTAATTTACTCTAATCCTGCCTAAAAGAATTTCAACCTAAGGGCAGGCTGGTAGAGATCCTGATGAATAATAAAATAGAATTGGGTATACATGCACCCAACGCTTGGTATTGCTGGCACACAAAAACATAGTTAACAAAAAGGAAAAAAAAAAAGGTCTTATAGATTTATTTACTCTAATCCTGCCTACAAGAATTTCAAGTGGAAACAAAGTTAGGGTTTAAGATAGATATCTATCTTCTTAGGGGTTGGAGATGAACAAATCACTGAAATGGTAAATATTTATTCATTTTTTACTTCAGTATATATGTTCTAAGTAAAATTAAATTGAACTGTTAGCTATATCTGAGTTTATGTTTTGTATGCAAAACTTTGTTCAAATTTAAATAGTTTTCTTGAACTAAACCATTAGGTGCACATTGTTGCTAAACAAAGTTTGGGTCATATACATACAAAAATTTAAGAACTTAGTCTGTTATTTTTTTAGTGGAATAAGATTATTAACAGCATAGCAAAAATTACAAAATGTTCTATATAGGTACCAGATATATCTTTAAAATCAAACAGGAAAGCTAAATTTAAATCATTTCTGTTGCTTTTCTACCACTTTACTTTCTAAACACTGTGTGCAACAACTTTATTATACTTTACATTTTTATAATCTCATAAGTCACAACCATCCCACTTTTACAAACACATGAACAAATAAAATAAAATTCAGATAAAGCTTTAATACATAAACCTAAATAAATTCCAAAAATCTACTGAAATTAGTCTTGTACGCAGGTTTAGTGTATTAGACTTAATTTAAGCATGCTCTGAATAAAAAGAATATAAAGACTTTTCTTCTTGTGATAGATACACACATATATATACACATACATAAATAAATCATTCCCTTCTATTCTCTGCACATTTCTGGAATCTGCATCTTGCACATACTTTCCTGAATACCAGTGTTCACGAATGAAGAGAATTTAGCTATGATTATTGATCAATTTTTTGAAACTTTCATTAATGTAACTAAATAAATAAAAATTGTGGATCCTGTTTTTATGAATTCTGATTTTAACCCATTAACTGTGGCTGCTCTAAATGTGCACAGAATTTTTGCAAACCATACACTGTTATAATAATAAAGTTAGAAATAAGTCTTTACGTGCTTAGGGAGCTCAAATCTACTTATTCTTAAGCAATATAACTTAGATAAAGATGTAAAATTGTTTTTATTCATTAGCCGTAAAAACATGAAAGATTACATTTACCTTATGTTGTTTGGAATAGTTTTAAGTAATAATTGACTGATTCTTATTTATTAATTCATTTAAAATGCAATGCACAATAGTTCAAAACTGCAACTAGTTGGTTACCCTCAAGATTTAATGAAGTGCAGACAGATGCAAGATGAATTCTTCAAGCTGAGCTTGAGATAATATTTTTCAATATATAGAAAAGAAGCATAGTATTGATCCAGTGAAGCCTCAATAACAACAAGAACATGTAAAATAGTAAAACACACATGGATAAACATAAGAGTGTAGGAATTCTATCACTGAACCAAATATGCTGCTTTAGATGAACTTATTCAAAAACAAGCCAGTTGATGTAAATTATGTAAGTATATAAATGACTGAATGAGAACGCAAAATTCAGTAGTGTTTTTCAGATAGTTACTTATAATGCTATTCATGAGGAAAACAGAAAAGTTGTTACATTGTAAATAATTATGAAAAATAATTACTAAATGATAAGCTCAAAGCAATAAATTATTTTACAAACTGAAAAATATAAAACTACTGTAATGAATATAATATTCAATAAAAATAGGTTTATGATACCAATAAATATAAAAACAACTTCCAAAATTCTTAATAATTAAATTCAAAAAGGTATTATAATCTTTTATTTTCGTTTAGTTCAATACAGATGACCAAACACAGAATTTCTGTTTAAAAACTACATAAAAGTATTATCTACTTGTTCAAGATATGCAAAAAGGCTTGAAATCAATTAAGTAATCAATAATTTAATTCTTCTCATGATAGAACAGAAATCAATTTGTTAAAGAGGAGCAGATTTATAACTTACTATTTTATTAAAATTTCAAGTTGGAAGAAGACAGTTTTAGATAAGTCATTAACAAATGTATTTTAAGTATTACATTTATACAAAACTGAATTACTTTATAAAATGAACTAAACATATAGCAAGGAAATTGTTGCAATAAATACTCATACGTTACAGTCCTTTTTCATTATGTTAAAACTCAAATTTCTCATTATAAATTGATAATTCACAAATGTTTAAAAGGTTTTAATATTTGAAACAAATTAGCTGGAAAGTTGTTTTTTTTAAGTTTTAGGTTAGACAAAAAATTCTAATATATAAACCAATTAGAAAGGTATAGATATTTGCTTCTGCAAAATATGGTGTAATTTGATTTAATTTAGCAAATGTAAGTGTAGCTTCTTTCTTTTTTTGAGTTAAGTCTAATAATTTAAATTTTATATTATCAGCTAAAAGTTTTTTTCTCAAACATTTGTTTTTAATCAGCATTAAATAATTTTTTAGGCTCAACTGCACAAGTTTTAAAAATTAGGAGGAGGAGTTAAATAATTTTTTAGGCTTAATTGCACAAGTTTTAAAGATTAGGAGGAGTTAAATAATTTTTTAGGCTCAACTGCACAAGTTTTAAATCAGCTTATAATTAATACTTAGAACTTTGCTCAATTTTAAGGCATGAAAGCTTTATCAGAAACTAGTTGTAATAATACTTTTAAACTAGCAAAATTAAATTTCTAAAGCTTGAGGAAATTATAAATAACTTGTTCATCCTCAAAATACAGTAAAATTAATATGAATTTTTAATCTATGTATTTTATCAAGATGTGTCACCCTGATTTTAAGTAGGGACTACATTTCCTATTTATCAATGTAATTTCTGAAATTAATAAGATCTGATCAAGACTAAATTTTACCCTTATGCAAGTTAAAACATTAGAAACTGTGAAATGAAAAAAATGAAATAACACTTTTTTAACATTATTTCACAATCCTAGTTGTTGTTGTTGTTTTTTAAATTTTAAGTTGGCTTTTCCATAAGATCAAAAACGTTAATAGGATCATCGCCATACCATACCATTTTTTTTTCTAATACATCCTGCTATAGAATTATAATGATGAAATTTTAACCTTATAAAAAAAAAATTAAATTAAGTATAGCCTGAATAACAAGATAATATTTAGGCAAAATAAAAACCTGGTTACACTTTTATGAAATAAATAAGCACCTTACAAAACACTAAAATATTCTTCCACCTTCAACAATAAGACAAAAATCTTACATTGTACTTTTGAAATCTACATCGTTTTCTGTCTCCTTCCTTATTTTATAGACTTGAGAATATGAACATACCACTTAAAAAAATTTACATAAATGAAAACAGATCATTAACTCATCAACGAAAAACATGTTTTATTTGGAGTCAATGATTTACCTATGCATATAAAAAAATAATCCAAGTCAAGGTTTTTGACATATACAGAATTCTTTAATAGGAAAAGTAATACACTTATAGTAATATTATGTAAAACCAATTGTAATCCAAAAAGTATTCAATATATTTACCCAGCTTTTATATCATTGAACTGAAAAATCTTATTGAAATTTTCACAAATAAACATACATCAACAATGATGATGTCTGCTATAATGTGTACATAAACATTTATTTATGATTAAAACTTAACACTAACTATTTATTTTAGTTATGATTTAAACAGAATAAGTATTAAATTTCTATCTCATAGTAATAATAAAAAAACTGCCATTTTTCCTTAAAATTCTATTATGTAAAATCATGAGTTTATCCATAAACAAACTTCCACATGTAAAATGAATTTAATCATTTCATGTCAAAGTACTTCTTACTTCAGTCACATACACATTACAATTTAGATGTAAATGTTATGAGTTTTCACATAAATTACTCTCATCTTTTAATTAATCAAGTCTGCTTCACAAAATGTGCTTGGATACATACAAATGTTCAAAAACTTTAAACCCCCAAAAAATTAATTTCACCATAAAATCTATAAACAGTTACATTTATTTACTTATCAAATTTATATTTGTATGTAACAGATTAAATGTTACATAACTTTTCCTGGCGATCTCAAGATATTTATAGCTTCATAATTTAGATTTTGTTTCTATTTCTTAATTCCTTAAAAAATACAATTTAATATACATACATATTTTGAACATTTGGCTGGATTATGGAAACCTACAAGTACTTCTCTATTGTCAATATTTTAAACCAAATACATTATCACAGAATAACCATGATAAAACAACACATCAATGTATCTTGAATTTAAATGTTTAAAAAATTATACTTAAAAGCAACAGTCATGATTTCATCATATAAAAATTTTGTGGTCATTGAATTTAGGAAAGTCTGTATAACAGGTAAAAAGAGAAACACAGTAAAGGAGTTTTGACAAAAATATGATGTCTCACAATCGAAAAAACAATAAGCTCACAGGATCAGGACAAAGCAAATTCTTTCTAAAAGAATATCTTACAACAGAGATTACTTATGATTTTATTACAAGCTATAGCTGAAATAAATATAATACCAAAAACATAATGGCTCACTACTAAAGCAATAAACCAAGTTGCAAAAGGGTAGAGCAAGTGGCAGCTTGAAAACAAGTTTGTTACTTTATTTGATGTCAACTTCCTTATACACAAAACCTCAAGAGTATTTTGGTACATGCAATCAGTTAAGTGGCACTATTTTTAGTTTTTTCTGTTCAATTATATATATTTTTTTTACTTTTTATGCTCCTAAGCTGATTTATAACTTCAGTAATTTATTAATTCTGTTCTGTTTTCTTTTTTGCTTAATTTGAATAATATATTTCAGTACCCTTTTTCCTAATCAACTTTAATGATTCCAAAGTTTATGCAAGTTTCATAATAGGTTTTTATGTTATTAGTAGTAAATTGGCTGCTGAAGTTTATGAATGATTCCGGAGTCAAAACACAAAGAAATAGAATCAAAGTAGTGAAGAAAACGTCCTGATCGCTTACGGCATTTTGCTTGTCTGTAAGTCTCTGAGACAGAGATGGATCTCAGGAAAGGCAGATACTCTAGATGAACTGCACGATGATTAAGTCTCTGATTTATAGGTAAAGCATTTCTTATTGCATCAAAACAGAATTTACTTTCATGGTATAACTGGTGATTTTCAAGAGTCTGACATTGTGTATTTTTTTTAAAGTGCAAAGTTATGTATGACAAATCCACATCTGCAGAAGCATTCTGTAAAATTTCCCTAAGCCGTTGTGATGTTTTCCTAAAACTCAATACCTCAAATGATGAAAAAATATCCACATTTATCTCTTCACATGTGGTGTAACTTGTATCACTTAATAAAGGCAAGCCCCATATCCATGACTGAAGTCTTTCTTCTGGGCCAGCACATTCTAATCCTCTCAATCTTCCCTGTCTCAACATTATGTCACGTGTACTCAGATCTTTTAGAAGGTTTGAAATTTGTTCATTTACCTTGTGAGTAATTAAAAGGGTACTATTCTTCACAACTGTATCTTCAGAAACTACCATGTCACAATTAATTTTAGAATCATCAACTGTGCTGTTCAAATCATTTCCAAAAAACTCCCTTTCTTGACCCAGTCCCTCTTCATTTAACCAGCTAATGTCAAATGGGTTAATATTCTGAGTCTTTTCTTCAACACAGTTCTGAAGCTCACTCACTTTTTCCAGAGATGGTTGAAATAACTTAGGTAATGATAAAAGTTCATACAAGTTGTCAGAAATAACTCTATTTCCAGAAACGTGATTTTCATATATTAATTTTCCAGCTTGCCATAAAGTACCTTGATTTAAGATGGAAATTAAGGTTTCATATATCCTGAAGTCCAGGTTATTAGGTGCACTTAGCATGAAAACAGATCTTTTGTTACCAATCACAAGTTTCTCTTCAAATCCTGTTGTTTTTTCTAAACACACATTACACATGTCCCATTTTTCCTCTGTTATATTTTCTACAGTAGTTTCTTCTTTTTCTGATTGTAAAACTAATACTCTGTTGCTTGCACACTCTAGAATATCATTAACCTTAGGGTCTAATAATTCAGCATGGTGATTTAAATTTGTTGGACATTTTGCAATAGTGTCCATTTCAACAGTATTTTCTTTTGATAACTTGTTATGGTTTGAATTTAATTCCTTTACAGATACCTTACTGTTCATTGATAAAAGATTTTTACAAAAATTAGACATTTCTGATTTGTTAGGGGCCAAAAATTGTAGTTGCAACAAACATCTACGAATATCACGACTCATATACTTAGCCAAAGCCCTTATATATGATGGTTTAACATCCATGCCTTCTTGCACACAAACTTTAAACAGATGATCTGTAACTTCATATAAATGAGGTGGTCTTAATGAAATAATCTCATGCATATGATTGATGTTTGTTTTAATGCTTTCAACATTCCTAGTAGCTGTAAGAATTACTGGCTTTTTAGCTGTAGCAATAAATGCATTTACTGCACTCCAAAATCCATCATCATTTTCAAACACAACATCCACATCATCAAACAGTATCAATGACATACTTGATATACTTAATCCTTTTTCTGCATCATTCAAAATTGATTCTGTCAATAGATCTTTCACTCCTGAATCTCTGCATGTATAACTGTTTGGGTATTTAATTTTTTCATTAAACCCAAATCCTTCCAATGTGTTTTTCTTTTTCTGTGAGCCTAAGTTTATCTTTCTGGTAGTATTACTTCCTAATTTACCACTAAGTACTTTTCCTGATGTTTCATTATTTGTACATCCTTCAGTAGTTCTTGAATTCAATTCAGGATGCTTTGCTGCTGAAGCGCCAGTTCTGAAAAATGATTCGATTGATTTTTTTTTGGATAAAGCTGGAGTTGATTCTTTAGCAACTATTTCATTTTTTTGTTTTGACAAAAACTTTGGTGAATTTGTTTTACCAACTTCAAAAAAATTTAAATATTTTCTATTCTTGCACGATGAACCTTCAATATGATGAGACTGAGTTGCCTCTTGAAGTTGGGTCATAATTTCTTTTCCTGTTCTCCTAGAAGAAGCATTTAATTCAAAAACTCTAAATCCCAACTCTCTTGCCACTGCATAAACAAAACTTGTTTTTCCTATACCTGATGCTCCAGTAATTAGCGTGCAATTAGGCAGGTTATCATCATCATCTGAATACTCATCAGAATCACTTTTAGAACTAATATTAGAATTCCTACTTTTGTTTTTTGCATCATTGAAACATTTTGTTTTCCAAGCAGCCAACCAAACCTTCATTTTTTCCACTTCATTCTTATTGCCAACAAATGTTCCAAAGGAAGTTGGCTTATATTTTTCAGTAAATATCTCTTCATTAATGGAATTATTATTCTCATTATCATTTGTGGTAACTTTATCATCATCCAAAAGAATCAAAGGTTTATCTTCTAGCACTTGACTTTCAATATCCTCTACATTCCAAGACCCAAATTTTTCTTTAGCACCACTACTCAGCTTATTTCCTCCATTTTTTCTTTTTTGATATTCCCTTTTCTTTTCTCTTTGTATCAGGTTGTCATTAGCACTAGTTTTTTTTAAAGGCATTTTTATTACATCGCAAGTATTATGAATCTCTTTTGGTGTTTCTGATAATTCACTACAATTTATAGAAAAATGTAGGTTCAATTTATTACCCTTCATTTTGGTCCTAGACCTAAGAGATCCTTTACATGCTAAACCATCACTCTCTTTTTCACCTTCTCCATCATCATCATCACATGAAGGGCCAATGTTTCTTAGTTCTTTTTCTTCTGCCAAAACTAATTGTTGCTTTTTCTTTCTACGTTTTGTTTCTTTTTCACTGTCTGCATTTTTATCTAAAGTTTTATTAAACACAGTGATTTCATCTTCTTGAACAGTTGGTTTTCTTTTGTAACTACATTTTGAAAAGTTGTTTTTCAATTCACTACTTTTAGTAGCAATTTTTAATTTACTCTTAGGCTTTGTAGGAAGTATCACAAATTGCTCATCTTCTTGTTCATAGACCCTGTTGTTCTCGAGACTCTTGCATCTCGTTGGCAAACTTAAACATCCTTTTTTGGAGGCATTACTGGTTTCACCTTGAGGCTTTACAACTGAACATTCATCTAACACCCTGTCAGTTACAACTTTTTTCAAGAAAATTGGAGCAAGTTTAACAGGTACGTTTTTTGTACATTTGGTATCATAAAGTGTAGTTCTTGGAGAACTCTCACTAGAAGCAGTATAAATCTGTCCATGATGAAGTTGATTTACATGTACTTGATTTCCTGCTATTTTATTATCTTGTTTTTTAAGAAAAATTGGTGCAAGTTTTGTATCTTCTTTTATTTTACTACCTCTCACTTCCACACAAGTAGTGCTTTCAGTTAAGCTACTACTGGGCTTGCTAATACTAGATTCTTTTTCATGAGCTTGGCAAGAATTTTGAACAGTCGAGTCTACTAGTAGAACTTCCTTATTTTTAACACAGTGAGTTTTATTTTCATAATCATCTGTCAAAACACAATATTCAGAAATATTTGTACTAACTGATTTGGTTTTTCTACTGTCTGTTTCACATTTTGTTGCTTTTAACCTTGTTTTAACAGAAGAAATTTTCTTCACTCCTAATCCTAGTTTTTCATTTGACTGTAAACTGTGTAATTTCATCGTATGAATTCACTTTCACAGGATTAAATTGAGCATTGCAAAGTGCTATCAACTTCAAAGTTCAAGTCAAATTGTCTTAGTTAAGAAAACTGCAGAACTTCAGATGGTTTCAGATCAATTTCTTAGAATATCGAGCTATAAAAGAAAAAAAAATGGGTACCAACACTTAAAACAATAACTGAATAAGATATTCATGCAAAATGATACTCGTAATTATCTACCAATTTTAATACAAATTAGAATACTACTACTAGTAGTACTAACAATAACACATCAAGCAATGGCCTTTAATAATAATAGTACTTTTAGTTTTAATTCCCAAGAATGAGCCTTCACAACATTATACTGATTAATAAAATTATACCCAACAAAAATTTTTACTTGTTTCAACAGTAAAATTTAGTTATGAATCTAGGTTTACACTGATTCTTTATAATTATACAAAAACTTAAAAAGTCAGTCACACTCAGAAAGATTCAAAAATGAACTTTGTAACATTATGCTGTCTGTTAAATACTATAATTATTCTCAAAATACTATTATTTACCAAAAACTTCCCGTCATTCCAATAAACCGGTAATTAGTCATTCTGTTTTAATTACAAAGTTTTACACGTTTGAAATTAATACTTTTATTATGCTTACATAAGAAAAACGTAAAATAATACATACTGACTACCGCCAAAAATAAATACGCCCTCTTCTGCAAAAAAAAAGAAATGGCAACAAATATAAAAATTTTCTTAAATTCTTATTCTGAGTACCTTAAAGTACAGTAATAATAAACAACTCAACTACAGCTGTATTTTCTTACAATTTCAAAAAGTCGACATTTATACAAAATTCTCTTTCACATAAAAACAATTAATCCATATACATAAAAAACCTTTTGTCATTTAATTCATTAAAGTGTTGCCTTCTAGTTTGGCATAGTAGTAGTAGTTAGCTTACCTATCTGTGGATCTAAAAGGTCCAAGGTTCGGGCTGGATATGCCTAAAAATACGCTGTACTTTTAGCTCGAGAGAGTACATAAATGTGGCAGTAAATATACCACTGTTCAATTAAAATTAGCCATGTAGGTGGCGGATGCTGTTTACTAGTTACTCTTCCTACAGCCTGTAGTTCACAGTTACTGATGGCTGCTGTACATTAACGCTAAACTCTTTTAAGTTGGCGGTTTACTCCACATGTCACGTATGGTGTCGTTAAGGTTGAAAATGTGGGACAGTAAGGTAATATGTATTTGCTACCTCTTTAGCTAATAAGGTTTTTGAAATTATTGTGTTTTCAGGGTTTCCAGTTTTAACACAGAAAGTCGCTCAAGTAGACACTTCAATTCTTTTGATACATAAAAGAGCTGTGTTTATTTTAATTAACATTTAACTGAGTTTTTTGCAGGGAAGATGGCACGTGGTGCCTAGAAAAAGATACCTTTCTTCTCCGTTGGCGAATCGAATAATATTTAAGGGCTGCCACATCGTGGCACTAGATTCACAATGGACAAGTATTATGTGTGTGAGGTGCATTTGTGAGGAAAGCTGACTTTGTTAGCGCTAGTATGCTTTGCATTTAAAGCCAGGTTTGCCCCATTAAAAGTAACTTTTGCAGACCTTGTAACTTTAAGTAACGTTTGTAGACTTCAGGTATTTTTTACTTAACTCATAACTTTCAATATTTGTTTGAACTGGTTTAACTTTTGCTTTGTTTTAATTATAGTTACAGTGTTGTGTTCAGTTTAACATTATGATTCCACCTCAGCAACCCTCGGTCATCCTTGCTTTCTTTGAGCTGAGTTTGAATCTCAGAGGCATAGTTTGATCTAATGATATAGGTGTACCTGAATTTATGACGTGCACAATGACAGCAATCTGTATTTATAATAAAAAAGAGACAAACAAAATGGAAGATAAAACAAGGAAAAGTGTGTTTGGTTTGTGTGTGTTGAACTGGTAAGAGGCTTTTAATGAAATATTTGATATATTCTTTTACTAGTTCACTGTGGTCACCTTTAAACTACTTTAAACAAATCCGAAATCTAAAACAACCTGTACCTGGCAAGTCCCAGACCACTTGGGGAGGTCTGTAAAGAACTTCCAGGCTGTTACCTGCCAAAGTACCACAGTACCAGCTCTGGTCAAGATCATCTATCACCAGCTGAGAAGGATTGGAGGTGTCACTGGTAGACAATCTATGCAGTCAAATCTGTTTCCATGGCAATTGAGACAGTGGCACCCAGAGTAAAGACCATAAACTATGAGTTAATGAGCCTTTTTAAGCCAGGGCGTATTTTTGCAATGATGACCATGATTCACAGCTTTTCCAGGAGTTGAGCAGGGTTGTATAATGAGATGCCACGAGCAATTTGTTGCTCTTTCACCTTAGACTAAAGACAGATTACTTATCTGAGTGTTGGGGTCTCTGAGTACATTTATCGTCCTACATCTGCAACATTGGAGACTTTACTTGAAGTATTTCAGGCAGACAATTGCCTGCAATGGTTGGATTCAGGAGCAAGTGGTACAATGCCTGATTTTGAGCCTGGATGGGCTACCCCTGAATGACATTGAACATCTGGATAAGGAGAAACAGGAGGACTGGGACACTATCATATTTGAGTTACACTACCAATTTGACCCTGTGGAGAATCAGGTGATACATCAGGCCAAGGTCAAGAAGAGGACTGGAAATGAAAGTCTGGCCACTATAACCTATGCCAATTGCATAGTAAGGCCCTACAATGGCTGAACAAACAAGTGGGCAAAGTTATCACTGTCACCCAAAAGCTCAGCATGTTCAGGACAACTAGCAGCAAGTGGTGGACACTGCAGCAAATGCTCTGGAATATTAACATAAATATTCTGTCAGTTCCACTTGAGCAATGTGTGAACTGATATTTTGTGGAAGAGTCATTTGATATCGACAAGATTGAACTCTGGAACAAAAGAATATGTATATAGTGGAGGAAATAATGGTACCTCTGGGTACATAAGTAGTGTTTCATGATTTACTGTAGATGAAGTACAGTGAATCAATACTTAATGTGACTGTAGAACCCACACATGAAATAAACTGTTTCCTGTCCAGAAAGTAGGCAGAATTAGCTTGGACAGTTATCACCAATGAAGGACGAAGTGCTAATGTTGTTTTGAATGGAATGGTTATAGATGCAGTAAGCAAAATGAAAGTAACCAATGCTAATGGTAATGCTATGGTTGCATCTGTCACACTGCAGCTGAAAGGAAATAGGTGGCTACTAACAGACGTGAGGTCGTTTTGGTTGAGGATTATGCAAGCAATCTAGTCCCAACATAGTGAAAGAAACTCAGTGTCTTGTTGGTTGAATATGTCAGTGTATTTGTGGGACCAGATAGCTAATTGGAAACTTTTCTGGAGACTGAATCCTCTTAATGGCTGAACAAATTTAGGGAAGGTGGAGGCAGGAGGGGGTTCCTGAATGATGCCAGCTCCCATGAACATAAAGATGATATAGTCTAGTATTTCTACAATGACCATCACAGCATCGGCCATGATACAAATGAGCCAGCTGACTTGTAGGTCTTCTCTTCATCCACTGCAACAATGCTGGGAGCTTAAGGTAAATGAGGGTGCCTTCATATTATAGGCAGGACTAACCACTTCCCAGAACAAGAATATGCACATACTTTAGCAACAGCCAGATCCCCATTGGCCAAACAACCACAGGAGCAGTTCCAAAGAATGCAAATGATGGAACTCCCGACTATAGCCACCAAAGGTGATTACGAACTAGCCCTGTACTCTAGAGGTACTTCCAGGAAGTGACTACCAATTGGACCAAAATTTGGCTTCTTTACAACAGGAAGGAAGTTCGGCTGCATCGGAAGGTAATGTGTCAAATGTGATATGAGCCAAGCTGGTCAACACAGAAAAAGCACTTGCTAATGCATAGAAAGACCTTAAAACCACAACAGTAGTCCTTGAGAATATGTTGGAAGGGTTAATGTGGTAGGGAGTGAAACCTCTACGTATTCTAAAAAGTGTTATTGTAACTTAAATTATTAAAGATTGCTGTAAATGTTACTCTGAATGGGGAAGCAAATCTTAGTTTCACGCATACATACATAAAAAGAGAGATTAATACAAAAAAAATTGCAGAATGTGAAATAATTCTGAGAAATCAAATAACAATGTCATGAAAAAGATATACAAAATATATAATTCAAGTTACCGCAAAGAAATATACATATACATATACATATACAAATCACCTTGGTTATGTTTTCAACCCTGTGTGTTTGTCAACAAGATTTCTCGAAAACTGCTGAATGGATTGAGACAAAAATTTCTATACATTTGGACTATGACCCAATTTAGAAAGGATATTAGTTTTTGGAGGGCCAGTGTCACGAAAATGGAAAAAAAAAAACCTATCTCTTCACATGGGGACTGATTTTTCACACTCAGTCAAAAATTGTCGGATTTTGATGAAACTTGGTGGACTTATGTAGAATATTATTCATCATTGTCTTGCCCAAAAAGGGTCCGTGTCTGTTGATAACGACGAACACACGGACGTAGTTTCGATAGCCGAATATGATCAACGCTGCGTGATGGAGATTTGCGCTCTACTGAGTGCTCCTCTAGTTACCCTCACCCCCGGAGGGGGAGAGTATTGCAATCGGGTCCATGTGTCTGTCTGTCTGTGTTTCCGCGCGCGTATTTCGAAAATTGAAAGACCAATATACACGAAAAATTTTACACAAGATGGGAATTCAGTATGGGGCAGTCTTCCCCACATTTGGTCCGGATCTGGATCAGTTTGAAGCATATTCTATAATGGGGAGGTAGGGCATTCTCGCGGTTTTGGATTAGTAACAACATTTTTCTTTTGAGTTTGCTCAAGACATTGTAGGCGCATTTATCATATTTGTTATTTTTTAACTATATGAGGGTTTGAACAACTTTTGTTTTTCTATGGTTTAAAACGCGATGCAATAAACCTCAGCTTACTTAGTAATTGTGGCGTCTCCAGTTCCGTCACAACGGTTCACGCACTTTACTTACGGTCGCTACCGCTCGCTTGACTCAATTATCTGTCTATTTGCAATTTTATCTCCGCTTTATTTGTATTTTAGTATTATATAGTAAAATAGAGGGCGCCTAGAAAAGACTAGAGTTGCCAGGAAAAGTGATGATCCTTCTAGAAACTCATGACGTGTTACCAGCGTTACGTGACTTCTGCTGTCGTAACATTATTTGAATGGGTAATCAGGTACCTGATGATGACATAACCTTGTCGAAACGTTGTGCATTTGCTGTTATGTTAAACTTATATTAAAGTTTTTCTTCATTACCCATTCAAGCCGTCTCCAGTCATTATTAGTCTCAAAGTGGGTTCCTCGTCACCGTATCTGCTAATTTCCGGTATAATTTCTTCCCGGGGAACTTCAGCGATACAAGTCCTTTCTTAAATAAAACTAGTTTATTCTTTCTCAATACAACTTTGCAATACACAGAATTTCCACTGTCACTTTAACTTAAACACACGCTATAATTCACAACCTTATATGAGGAAGCAGCCAAACTAAATGAGAGTTTCTTTTATCAAAATACTTTGATTTTGTTTTTATCATCCTTGTTATACTTCAAAGATGGAAGAGTTGCTCTATATTTCTTTTTTCATTTCC